GGGGGGGGGGGGGGTGCTGGGTTTCCTCCCTCCCCTCCCCCTTTCCTGCCCCAGCAGCGGGGCCGGAAGCCAGCGAGCGGTGACGCGGTGACGGCGTGGGGCACGCGATGGGGCTCCCCACACCCTATAGGGCGCCGGCCCCATAGCATCCATCCATCCCTCACCACCTTCCTCTCCCACCCTCCAGGCCCGACCCACGGCCATGGCGCCGCCGGAGGGGCTGCCGTAGCGGTGCCAGCATGGAGCAGCCCGGGGGCCGCCCCCCCATCCCCGCAACACAGGACGCCATCGTCTTCTCCGACGCGGCATCGCCTGCGGGGACCCCCGGAGCCCCCAACCCGCCGCCCGCAGATGTCTTCTGGGCCAGCCTGGTGCAGGCCCAGATGTGCGTGTGGGACCTGCAGGGCGCCATCGAGGGGACGCGCGGTGGGGACGGGCGCCACGATGGGTCCCGACGCGGGGATGTTGAGGGGAGCGGGGGGTCCGGGGTCTCGTTGCAGGGTGTGGGGTCCTGTGGGGTCTCGGCCCGATCCGTCGCCACGGATGGGAGAACCTCGCCAAAGTTTGCGGCCGCCCGTGGCACCGAACCAACCGGATCCATCGCTGCGTTTGGGACGAGCTCCCAGGCTGCCCATGGGGTCGGCTCGTGTGGGGTCAGCACACCCCAGTCCATCCCCACGTATGGGAGAACCTCTGCAAAGGATGCGAGCTCCTATGGGGTCGGCTCGTGTGGGGTCAGCGCAGCCGAATCCGTCCCTACGTGTGGGAGAAGCTCTGCAAAGGATGCGGCCACCTGTGGGATCTCCTCAGCTGAGTGCATCCCCACGTATGGGGGAACCTCAATGGAGGACGTGGGCACCTATGGGATCTCACCCCGATCCACCCCTGGGTATGGGAACCCCCCCCCAAAGGATGCGACCGCCCATGGGACCGCCTCCCATGGGACCACCTCAACAGAACCCACCTATGGGGGAACCTCCTCAGAGGACGTGTGCGTGTATGGGGCCACCTATGAATCCATCCCCACCTATGGGGGAACCTCAGTGGAGGACACAGGCACCTATGGGACCCCACCCCAATCCATCCCTGGGCATGGGAACACCTCCCCAAAGGATGCGACCGCCCATGGGACCGCCTCCCATGGGACCACGTCACCCCAATCCATCCCCACCTATGGGAGAACCTCGCTGCAGGATGTGGACACCTATGGGATCTCACCCCAATCCATCCCCACCTATGGGAGAACCTCCCCAAAGGATGCGGCCACCCATGGGACCACCTCAACAGAACCCACCCCCAGCTGTGGGACAACCTCAATGGAAGACACAGATGCCTATGGGATCTCACCCCGATCCATCCCTGGGTATGGGAACCCCTCCCCAAAGGATGCGACCACCCATGGGACCACCACAACAGAACCCATCCCCACCTATGGGAGAACCTCCACAGAAGATGTGTCCATGTATGGGACCACCTATGAATCCACCCCCACCTATGGGAGAACCTCAATGGAGGCCGTGGGCACCTATGGGACCCCACCCCAATCCATCCCCACGTATGGGAACCCCTCCCCAAAGGATGCAGCCACCTGTGGGATCGCCTTATCAGAGTCCATCCCCACATTTGGGGGAACCTCAGTGGGCGACACGGATGTCTATGGGGTCACACCTCAATCCGTCCCCACGTATGGGAGAACCACCCCAAAGGATGTGAGCAGCCGTGGGACCACCTCAACTGAATCCGTCTCCACCTGTGGGAGAACCTTGCTGGAGGACGCAGATGTTTATGGGATCTCACCCCAACCCATCCCCGCATATGGGAACACCTCCCCAAAGGATGTGAGCACCCATGGGATCACCTCAACAGAACCCATCCCCACCTATGGGAGAACCTCGATGGAGAACGTGGACACTTATGGGATCTCGCCCCAATCCATATATGGGAGATCCACCCCAAAGGATGTGAGCACCCATGGGATCACCGCAACAGAACCCATCCCCACCTATGGGAGAACCTCAAAGGAGGATGTGGATGCTTATGGGATCTCACCCCAATCCATCCCCACTCCTGGGAGAACCTTGATGGAGAACATGGACCCCTATGGGATCTCACCCCAATCCATATATGGGAGAACCACCCCAAAGGACATGAGCACCCATGGGATCACCGTAACAGAACCCATCTCCACCTATGGGAGAACCTCGATGGAGGACGTGGACCCCTATGGGATCTCATCGCAATCCATATACGGGAGAACCACCCCAAAGGATCTGAGCACCCATGGGATCACCTCGCCCCAATCCGTGCCCATGGATGGGAGCACCTTGATGGAACCCCAGAGCTGGAGCTCCATGTCTGAGACCACCTCCCCGATGTCCCCCATGGGTGGGAGCATCCCACCCCACCAGCACGTGCCCACCTATGGGATCCTCTCACCCAAATCCACACCCACCTTTGGGGCCACCTCCTCCGATCCCACACATGTGAATGGGACCACCATGTGGGGACGAGTTCCTATGGATGAGACCACCTCCCCCAAATCCACACCTATGGATGGGACCACCTCCCCCAAATCCATACCTATGGATAAGACCATCTCATGGGGACGAGTTCCTATAGATGAGACCACCACCCCCAAATCCACACCTATGGATGAAACCATCTTATGGGGACGAGTTCCTATGGATGAGACCACCACCCCCAAACCCACGCCTATGGATGGGACCACCACCCCCAAATCCATGCCTATGGATGAGACCACCTCATGGGGACGAGTTCCAATAGATGAGACCACCACCCCCAAATCCACCCCTATGGATGGGACCACCACCCCCAAATCCAGGCTTATGGATGGGACCACCTCCCCCAAATCCATGCCTATGGATGAGACCACCTCCCCCAAATCCATGCCTATGGATGAGACCACCTCATGGGGACGAGCTCCTACGGATGAGACCACCACCCCCAAATCCACGCCTATGGATGAGACCACCTCCCCCCAACCCACACCCATGGGTGGTCCCACCTCCCCCCAACCCACACCCATGGGTGGTCCCGCCTCCCCCAAGCTCAGTCCCAGAGATGGGGCCCCCAAATGGAGCAAGCAAGAGGAGGAGGAAGAGGAGGAGGAGGAGGAGGACGAAGATGAGGAGGAAGATGGTGAGGAAGAGGAGGACGTGGAGGAAGAGGAGCCCCACTTCCACACCAACCCTCTCTTCTGCGGGCTCTACAAACCACACCTGCAGATCACCGAGGGGGACATCGCGGCAGCCCCCACCATGGGGGGCACCCAGGAGGTACGTGGGGTGGGGAGGGGGCTGGGGGCACCCTAAAACTCCCCCCCCCCCCCCCCCATAGCGGCGTGCCCACCCCGCTGTCCCCCCTGCAGGTCACAGTGTCCACAAGAAGGGACAGTGATGAGGACGGTGTGGCTGAGCGAGGTGAGTGGGGGACCCCAACCCCCTTTTTTTTTTTGGGGTTGGGGGGGAGACTGGTTGATAGATGGGGGGATATCGCAGATTTTGGGGGCTGATGTTGATGGATATCCCCCCCCCCCCCCACACACACCATGTTTTCTTCCCCCCTCTCAGGTCTGGCGCTTTCTGGCCCCCTGGATTCGACCCCGGCTGGGGGGCACCAGGACCCCCCCAGACTCCCAAGAGAAGGGGACTCGCCCCCCCCCAGCCCTGAGCACCCCAAAGATTTGGCACCTTTGGGGGGAGACCCGGAGCCTCTCAGCCTCTCACACCCAGCTGCCCCATATCACCCTCAGAAGTCCCCCACCTCCCCACATTCACCCCCCCAAAGCCCCCAAATGTCCCCCCATCACCTGCAGGGAGGGGGGCACCAGAACCCCCCCACCCCCCTGGATTCCCCCCCCCACAGCTGATCACCTGCAGGGAGGGGGGCACCAGAAGCCCCCCAGCCCCCCAAATTCATCCCCCTCAACCCCCCCATACCTCCAGGGAGGGGGGCAGCAGCCCCACAACTCCCCCATTATCCTCCCCTCTCCCTCCTCAAATTTGCCCCAGGGGGGGCAACAGCTGCCCCCCCGCAGCCCCCAGACCCCCCTCACATCCTTCCCAACCTCTGCCCGGCCGCCACTGGGACCTCCAGGGCTGGGGGGTGCTGGGGGGCTTCGGGGGGCTCCCCCCACACCGGGGGGTCTCTGTGCCCCTGGGGGGGTCGTGGCGCAGCTCCCCCCCCCCCCCCCCACGTCCCCATGCCCCAGCACGGAGGAGCTGCCCCCTGAGAGTGGCCAGGAGCCCCCGCTGGACCCCCCCGCTGGCACCCATGGGTGAGGGACTCCGCACTGCACCCCTATTTTTTGGGGGGAGGCCCTCTCGTAACCCTTCTGTTCCCATAGACTCGTGTCCATCTGTCTGTCTGTGCCCCCCTCCATCCCTGCAAACACCCCCATGCTTGCTTGCCCCCCCCAAGACCCCCAGCTGCCCCCATACCCCCGTGTAATCCATCCATCCACCCCAGACTCCCCCATCCATGCCTCAAGACCCCCATCTGCCCCCCCCGGCGCTCTGTCTGTCCGCTCAGACCCCATTCTGTCCACGTGCCCCCCCCCCATTTCCTCCCACACCCCCAGA